AAAAAAAAAAAAAAGAAATCCTGGGCCGGCCCAGTGGCGCACTGCTACAGTGCGCCGCTTGAGAAGCGCGGTGGCGCTCCCGCCGAGGGTTCGGATCCCACTTACAGACCGGCTGCTCACTGGCTGAGCAAGGAGTGGGGGCAACACCGAGGGTTGCGATCCCGTTGCCGGTCCCGGTCCAGTACGGGTGCGACACTGAGGGTTGCGATCCGTTGCCAGGCACGAAAAAAGACAAAAAGACAAAAAAAAAAAAGAAAGAAAGAAATCCTTTGTGTATTATGAATGTCTCCAATTGATCACTGTTTAAAGTCTGGATTTTTATATATGTGATTTTCTCAAAACAAGGCACACCTGACCGGTGCCTGCCCAACATTCTCCCATCCTGTGTCTGTGGTACCGGTTTGGGTCAGCGGCTGCTGTCACTTGCACTGTCATCTTAATTCTAATTATCACACCCTGCATGTTCCTCTGGTGATCGCACCCTGTCCTCACAGGTTTAGCTTTCCAGAGTCATTTTATTCTTTCTTCCAGTGTCTTAATTCAGCCCTGGTTCTGAGCACTGTTGGGATTTTAGAAGTGGATTTATATATAGTTAGATATTCAATATTTCTCCAGGAAAAGCTAAGGAAACTTTGCAAATCAATCCAACAGACTGCAACCAGAGAAGTCACATTTCATTATTGTTGTGTCCTATCTGACTGTCTTTTCCTTTGCGGACCATAAACTCCCACAGGGCAGGGAATGAGTCTGTGCATTTTTATATCCCAGCACCTTGCACAGTGCCTGAGATTAAAAAACTAAAAAAATCAGTATTTAGCAAATGAGCGAATGCCAGCTGACAGCTCCTTCTTTCTTGTGCTTTTGTGAGCATGGACACCATGGGACATTTCCCGCACTTTGTTCATCTGCTTTATCATTTATACTGTGATTTGTGAATTTGTAGGATGTATTTTAAAAAGAATATTACAGTGAGACCTCTGGGGCAATGAACTTTACTAAAACCTCAATATCCTCAGTCACTTTTGTTCAAATGTTCTCAAAGGCTGTGTACATGCTCCATTTAAGAAAATTCTCATACTTTCATCATAGTTTTATGTATTTTCTGAAACTTGAATACAATTTGCTTTATCTTTGCAAATTTCCCTCTAATAATATTGTCTTACATTTATACAGAAGCACTTTTTAAAAATTTAAAGTACTGCTCACAAGAGCCTGAAGAGGTGGAAAGGAGAAGTGTGTGTGCGCCTGTGTGCACATGTATGCGTGCATGTGGGGGTGTGTGTGTTCACGTATGTGTGCTTGCATGCGAGTGTACTGTGTGCACGTGCGTGTCCATGTGTGTGCGTGTATTGTGCATGCACAGGTGTATACGTACACACACACCCGATCTCCTAGTTTTCTCAGAAGACATGTGAATAGGATCACAGCAGCTGCTGGGAGCCCACTGGACAGATGAAGGAGACACCACTTGGGGAAGTGTCTCAGGACACCCAGCTATTCAGCAGCGGAAACAGAGCTTGTGCCTCTCTGCCACAGGGAATGCCGAAAAGCAAACAGTCCCCATTGGGTAACACCTCTCGGCGCCCCACTCACCTGGTCTGATACGTTGTACCAGCCATAATCAAAGGAATGGATGTTCTTGTTCTGAGAAAATGACAAGATGAACAGGTTGTAGCAGGCCCGAGAGGTGTAAAGCAGGATCACGGTGACACCGACAGAGGTCACTTGGCACACGGAGGAGCCCTGGAACAGAGGGAGCAGTCGGTGGGCCATTCAGGCCCCAGATACCGGCCCCATCCCTGTCCCCACCTGCTGCCCAACTCAGCAGTCCTTTGGGGTCCCAGTGGCAGTGCCAGGTCATCTGCCAGAACCTCCACCTTCACTCCACTCATCCACACCCCTTCCTAAACTTCCAGTTACCTTCATTTAGACCCTGGGACTTGGCTTGGAGATGCCTTTAACAGGGCTAAAACATGGGCCATTTCCTCAAGGCCTGGATTGCAGGAGCATGAAGACAGATGGCCGACTCTGTTAAACCTCTAACTGCCCCCACTCAACAGCAGGTGAGTCCAAGTTGGGCCAGGATCAGAGGGAGACAGTGGGGAGACAGCTGTGCTGGATACGGTGCACTGGGCAGAGAGCATTTCCCAAAGCCCAGAGTCTTCCTGGCTGGAGCACAGGAGTCCTGATGGGACTCAGGGCTTGGAATTAGGTGGAAATCAGTGGTTCGTGCCCCACTGTATGAAGCTATCAATTTCCAAAGTCAGTTAAAGGACCCCTAGAAACAGATGGTTAACACACCCAAAAAACTAGGACGGATTTCTGAATTTTGCGCTTGGAAGTCATTAACTAAATCCAAGATACTATTTTATTTTGCCAGTAGGGCTTTGTCAGCCTGTGTGCCATGGGTGAGCTCAATGGTATTTTGACAATCTACGATTTAACCCCTCCTGTTAAAAACCGCAGCTCTGTTTTTAAAATCCTTGAATAGCCCCTATACAGGAGACAACGTAATATAGAAAGTTAAAGCAAAATCGAGTCTAAAATTCATCAGAACTTATAAATGAAAAAACTACTCTGCCACACTAATTTTGGGGATTTGCAGGAATCTGGCTAAATCATAGGATGCCCTGACTAAGGCTTTATATTTTTGAAGTCAGAGGCACCGATGTTAATGTACTGATCACGACTGAATACACAATATCATGGAGACACAGCTGCCCCACAATCCTCAGACCAAAGAGGCGGTGTGACAGGCGGGGGCTGGTCCCCAGCCGGAGAGAGCCCCCTCCTCACTAGGCTTCTGGCTCAGGTCCAAAATCCATCTGTGAAGGGAGGGCGGGGTTGCAGCTGATCAGAGGCTCTGTGGCACCCCAGCAGATGTGCACATCTGTCCTTCTTTATAACTCTGGGGAAAGGGCGGGAGGCTGTGAGACAGAGCGGGAAAGCACAGAGCGGCCAGGGGCTGCCCTGCTCCTCACGTCTGGCCCTGTCTCTGAACAATGCACAGGGAGGAGCACTGTCCTAACTCCAGGAGTGGATCCTGCCGCTAAGAAGCAGCTCGTGGGCACTGCCAGTCAAGGCGTGACCTGAATCTGTCTTCACAGTAGTACCATGAGGTGGGGAAGACCACAATCCCTGGAGCTGGACTCCAGGTGTGAATCGTGACTTTGTACCACTAGCTGCGTGACCTGGACAAGCTGTTCAACCTCTCTGTGCCTCAGTTTCCTTATGTAGAAAGTGGGAATTATAATATTCCTTGCTGCCATAGAGTTTTGAGGATTACATTAGTTTATACACATAAAGTGCTTTCAAAAGTGCCTGGAACATAGTCAACACAAGATACACGTTTGCTATTAATGCTACAGGTACAATCCGTCCCACTAGTCCTTTTAAATGTAGGTTAAATCACTGGAGCTATCAACCAGAGACTTCACTCTCAGACAGTAATTCTGCACACACCAACGCACTTTTTAAGCCATGTGGAATGCAACTCTTCTCGATACAAAGTTCAGTGAGCTGGGCTGGCCGGTTAGCTCAGTTGGTTAGAGTGAGGTGTTATAACACCAAGGTCAAGGGTTTGGATCCTGTACCAGCCAGCTGCCAAAAACAAAACAAAAACAAAATCAAAGTTCAGTGAAATCCTTACCGCAGTGTTTTGGCAACCACAGCAGGGCTAACCATTTGCAGGAGGTCAGGTGCAAAGAGATGTGTAGGGTCCTGTTTGCACGCCAGGAAGCTATTTGTAAGACAAGTTTCATGGGAGGGGTTTCCACCCTACCTTAGACTCCAGGTAAATGTTGGCTAAGGACATCTTGGAGATTTTGTAGAGACAGATGGAGAGGGAGACAGCACACAGCACGAAGAGTGTGTCATTAATGGCCACACGCACGGAGACGATGACCCTCCTCTCCCAATGTCCCGTCTTCACCAGCACGGCACAGGTTAAATTCACCAGCAGGAAAACGAGGCTGATGAAGAGCGAGGCCAGGTAGAGGGGCAACCTGGAAAGGACCAGAGAGAGATTTAAGGCACCATTCCCGCACGCTGGCTGCACATCCTGGGTCAACCTAGAAGGAAACTGATACGTTTGAGTGAACTGCTGGAGGCAGACACACCACAGGGGACACCACTGAAGAGCCTGGACTTTGGAGATAGATGTTCCCGGATGCAAACTACAAACATGACCCGAGTGCCACTTCTGCTGTCCACAGGAGGTCGTGAGGATTAGTGGGAGCTGACACCTGCCGGCTGGCGGAGTGGGCTCCCTCCTCACAGGACACACTGATGGGGGGACAGCACAGGCTCAGTCAGGTTCAGTGTGAGCTCTGACCATCCTGTGCTGGTAGAGGGCAACATGCTACCTCTCCCAGCCTTAGTTTCATCACCTGAAAATAAGACTAAGTAACACCTACCTTGCAGGTTGTTTGTGAGGATTAAGTGAGATCATGTATTTGCATAATGTGCTTATTTGCATAATGTATTTATTTGCATAATGCATTTTAACCCCAACCAACAAAGTCATGAACGGAGTGGGATCCAGGGAGCATTCACTATTGGGTATAGTCACTGCTCTGATTACAAATCTGTCACAGCAATGGCCCAAGGCTCAATGGATATAAACTGTTTCACTGGCCATTTTTAACCTGTAGTTTCTCAGCCATACATGTCCTCAGTGACCTGCGTAAGGTCTGCATGAAGACGTCTCAGATTTACAAACACTGAGGTCAGCAGGCTCTACTTCCTCTTCATGACTGTCCATACGATGTTTACTTCAGGTGGACACAATTCAGCAGACAGGCAAATACGACACAGCCTTGTTTGGCTCAAAAAAATAGACTGAGGGCCGGCCCGTGGCTCACTCAGGAGAGTGTGGTGCTGATAACACCAAGGCCCCGGGTTCGGATCCCTATATAGGGATGGCCTGTGGCTCACTGGGTGAGTGTGGTGCTGACAACACCAAGGCCCCGGGTTCGGATCCCTATATAGGGATGGCCGGTTGCTCACTGGCTGAGCGTGGTGCTGACAACACCAAGTCAAGGGTTGAGACCCCCTTACCGGTCATCTTTAAAAAAAAAAATAGACTGGTTTAAGTTGAATGTGTTTGCAATTCAAATCTGAGAGCAGAAAACTGTCAACTAAAAGTTATTTTGAAACTAGAAAACGATTTTGGTGTCTTCAAAAGCCATGAGAGACCGAAACAGGGGAATCCTGGATTCTAGTCTCAGCTCCAGACATGCCACTGACGATGGGGGGCAGGGAAGGGAGGAGACTGAGAGAGACAGAGACACAGAGAAGAGAGAGGCCTTGGTTCCAGCCTGCCCAGGCCAATGCCCAGCTGCAGTTTTCTTTCCTGCCAGTGTGATATAACCCCCCATTTACTCAAGCTAATTTGAATTGGATTTTACAACTTGCAATTAATAATTTACTCTCCGCTGGCAAAGTCTGTCTTAATTTTCAGAACCTACGTCTACCAGAGGAACCTTGCCTACCTGCCCCCTGCTCATCCTAGCTCCAACAGCACGGCTGCAAAGAAGCCTTTCCTCCCTGCACACCCATCACACACACACACACACGCACGCACGCACACATAATCAGGTTTCTCTGATGCCTGCTTTCCTGGTCCCCTGCACTTTAACTTCATGGACTTATCAAAGTTGATAACAGAACAGACAGACAATGATCTGATCAGTGCTGGCTTCTACGTAGATGATAAGTTCCACGAAGATCAAGACTTCGGCTGCTCCTTCACCTGCTGTCCCCACCCTGTATGTGGCAGGAGCTCTGTGAATACGTTGTAAGAGGGCGGGAGGACGGAGGGAAGAAGGAAGGAGTCAGCCCAGGTGAAGACATGCGTGTTGAATCCAGAGAGTGTTCAGATGCCTGGACAAGGGCTGCCTTTTAGCTCCTACGAACACTCCGTCACAGCAGGTGCCAGATCTTGCCCTTGCTGGTGTGGAACAACCTAACATGGAGATCCTGCAACTTTCCAGGCAGGGAGAAAGGACTGCAGGCTCCTCCCTGCACAGCCCTGTGCTGACAGAATGAGATGGAGACGACGCACCCGGGCCCCCAGTAGCTCAGGGTGGCGGGGAAGTGCTGTCATGCACACGTCTGGAGAGGGAGGCACAGAGCATGGATGAAAGAGACGTGACAGTCAGGCATGCCTGTTGGCTTGGGATGGCCAGCGTCCACCAGGCCTGGACATTTGGGCAAGGGGGACAGCCAAGGATGGGAGGGGGCTCTAGGAGAGGGGGCAGGATTGTCGTGACCACAGTGCAGTTTGAGAAGATGGTTTGGGGCACAGTACAGTGCATGGACAGATGAAGAGACGGCAGCCTGCAGAGCCTTCTCGGGAACCTACTGTAACAGGTAAGAAGTGACAGCCCGGGGGCCTGTGGAAGGCGGCAGGGTGGGGACTCGGTGGGACCTGGACACTGGCGTGGTCAGTGTGGGCTACGGTGTGTACTGCACCCTGGAGAGGTGCCACTGGGGGGGGGCAGCACTGTGAAGTCTTGGGGAGTCAATGTCACATGTCTTCTGCACTCAACTCTTTTTAAGCAGAAACAAATTTCCTTTGGAAAAAGAAACATCAACGATTTGCCAGGAAAGGTTCTTTTCTGGCATGTGATCACTGACCAAGGCCCTTCAAACCCACATCACTCTGTCCTCGAGTCAGGGCCCTGCTGCTCCCTCTGCACCTCCCACATCTCCAGACCCGACTGTGAGCT